AAACATCCTCGTGCTCAAAAACAGCGGACAGCTGGAGAAATCCATTTTCACTCACGCAGCCTTAGAACCTACACTCACCACCGCTACGGAGATCTTTCAAACTCGTGCACATCTACGGCCCAAAACACACATTTTCTTGCAACTTGTTTTTTTAGAATGACATTAAAAAAACATGAAATCGGCTCTCACCTCGAGACGCGTCCACCCAGCCATACGGCAGAACAGGGAAAGATGGCGGCCGGAAAACCTCGTCGGCTGGTCGTGTCACGAGCGCAATCTGTTGGATAAGTTTGGCACAATTCGCCCTGATACAACTTGGACATGATACAACTCTCCCCGCTCTCCCCTACCTATTATTTTGCATTTTGATGTTTCTTTTTTGAAAGAAATAGTTCCTGTAATACGTATCTTGGTCCTATTCGCTTCTAAGCCTCTTTCCTTACGATTTTGTTCGGACCGCCGATTCGTATTAGCAGGTGGATACATGAGTCGGTAGCACGCTCCTGATTCGCATTAACGGCGAATCCGATCGTGATACGTAGGTATTTGCTTTGCTCATGTAACCGCGGATCGGATCGCCGATTCGTACTAGCAGGTGGCTACATGAGTCGGTAATGCGTTCCTAATTCGAATTAGCGGCTAAATACGTATTTACTGTGCTCATGTAACCCCGATAATAGTCACACTTTTCATCATATTCAATCCCTTTTAAAGAACAGCTGGCTCATGTGCTCAGTGTAGGATTGATTGATCAGGAATCAGGGTTTCTTGTTAGGATCTTCATCTTGACAGGGGGCCTGTTCCGGCCAGGTTCAGAAACCACTATATATCCTGGTGTAGGTATATGATGTTATTGATTTTTTAAAGGGACCCTCCCACCTTAACATTAGATTTGAGTTGAGATAGCCAAAATGGGGTCCCTGACTCACAATTACCGGTTTCGGCACTCACAACATCGAGAAATGCCTTAGGGGAGAGTGGGGCTATCTGTTACAGGGGTAAGTTGTTACAAAGGAAATATCTTTAAAAATACTCTTGATATGGCGCCAATATTTACGCTAGCAGAAAGGTTACGAACATACGAACATATCACTGCAGGATCAGACCTGGTGGAATGCCATGTCGCCCTGTAGGCGCACTGGGGTAAGTTGTGACAGCAAAAGTATTTTTTGCTGGCCAACACTTTGGATCGTTTTTCGTCAAGGTTATTTGTGTAAGAATGTTGATCATGTATGTTCACAAAATTAAGCGATGATTTCTTTTGTAAGATCACCAAGTAAAACGCACTAGCCTCTTCATGTAAACAAACATTTGAGTTCAGTCTTGTGAAAGTCGGCCGCCGCAGGGCCGGGGCATGTTTAAAGATGGCTACCCAAGACTGCTTATAGCGTGCTCCATTTCACCTGGGCGTAAATTTCGTGCAGAAAATCAAACTCCGGTCAGTATGGCAATGCATGGTGCCCTTGGCGTCGCAATAAAGGCAAATCAGAGATTGAGCCGTGTTTTATGAGCCTTTTCATGCGTGTGGCGTACAGTAATGGTTTATGCTTTATTGTTCTTGCCTTTCAATGAGAAAGGAAAGCATGTTTAGTATTATCCATTAGGGAGGCTTACGATCGGTTCCGATAGGACGGCCAATGACATTTATAATGATGAAGAAACTTCGAAAAAAGAAGTGTAACATGTTACCCCATATCGTGTATCAAGTTGCCCCACAATTTTCCAATTAACCCCAAAAATCTTGCTTTGGTTTTCTGAATTTCACATAAAAGTGAATAGTCGTAAAGAAATGAAAGTTTGCATGTGCTTTCCAAATTGATTCAGCTAGCATGTGACCAAATTTGGTGCAATTTCATTGCATAGCTTCGTCACTAAGTGCAGAAGACCAAAAAGTGTAACGCATAGCCCCACTCTCCCCTAAATCGGAAATATTGAATTTCAAAATTGCAGCATTTTGATTCAGAGGGGCTAATGCATAGGAATACCCCTCTGAATGTGTGACGTCAGCGCAGATATCTAACGATTTTTAAATGTTTGACTAAAACGTTTTGTAGCACGCGGTGGTATATGCTGCTTTGCGCGCAACAAGTGCCGCACTTTCAGCTGCCAAACTATTGCTTCCAAATAAAGTCGCTAGGAACAGCGGAGATCCCAAAAAGTAAACAAAAGTAAAAGTCTAATATCTTGAAAACCGGTGAATATTTTTCGGTGAAATTTGGTAGATATTCGTTTTCGCTCTTTCTGAACCGAGCGACATCACTTTCATGCTAATTCATAAACTTTTTTTGAAGGAGGGAGGGTCCCTTTAAACAGAACCAACAAACCTGGCTTCTTCCTCGCAGCAGACATTGGAGCCGTGTCCGAAAGCGTTTCCTGGGATTTCTTACGTAAAGCATTAGATCAATACAACTTTGGACCTAATTTCAAGAAGCTGATACAGCTTGTTTACCTGAATGATGCAAACTTTTCACGAATCATGTTAGGTGGCTTCCTGGGGGATAGAATTAATTTGCATCAGGGAATCAGACAGGGTGACCCGGCATCAGGTTATTTGTTCAATCTTGCAATGGAGCCTCTTACAAATATGATCGTGCAATCTGAGAAAGTACGCGGAGTGAGGATACATGATTTTGAAATCAAAATTTCTCAGTACGCGGATGATGTTATTATGTTCCTTGATGCAAGTGACACTTCATCACGGGGCGCTCTCGAAGAGATGGAGACTTTTTCCTCCTTTTCCGGACTGCGCACAAATATCAGTAAAACAAAATGTTTGCCCATTGGCGGATATGCGAGGATAGCGAACCTCTCCGGAATTAGTTGCGTTGAAGAGCTTAGAATGTTGGGAATTACTTTGAATGACAAAAATGTTGAATTAACCGATAGGAACATACCAGCTATCTTGCTGGCAATTGAGAAAGAAATAGCACAATGGAAGAGAAGAAATCTATCGGTTTTTGGAAAGATAACGGTTATAAAATCGCTACTTTTGTCAAAATTGGTACGTATTTTAATGGCGCTGCCAAATCCATCTCACAAGACGGTTAAACACATACAATCCCTCGGGTATACATTCTTATGGAATGATCGAAACGACCTCGTCAAGCGAACGAAAATGATTCAAGGTTATCATCACGATGGGCTGAACATGATAGGTCTTTTATCAAGAGTATGAAGGTAAGTTGGATCCAAAGACTGTATTGGTCAAATAATAGCTGGGCAGGATGGATAAAAAAGAGTTTCCTAATGTAGAGCTTGTTGAAAGGTACGGCTGCAAAAAGGTGAATAAAGAGAGTAAACTTATCCCCAATCGGTTTTGTGCTGAGGTTGCAAGATCGTGGGGAGATTTCATGGAAATGCATCAAGTGAACCCCGAGCGGATGTTGTCTGACTGGATATGGTGTTCTAACTATACTTAGTTAACATATGACAAAGTTACTAAATGGGACGGTAAAGGACTGAGGTTCATTCATGACTTAATAGATCTATGTAGAATCGGGAGCACTTTTAACGAGAGAACAACTAGCGCGAAGATACGGAGTGAGAATGACATTTTTATGTTATCAGTCATTAGTTAGTGGCTACCTTCCGAAATACGTAACTTAGCAGTTCGTCATCAATTAAATTACCTCTTATCCCATACAAGATAGCTTTATTGGCGAGAAAGAGCAAAATATCAAAGATGGGGCATCGTGAGTTTATTAAGTCATTACAAAAAAATATAAAGACTCAACTCTCAAGCTAACTGGAGTAGAAAGTGGATGCGTGACATTGCCCGGGGTTACATGAGCAGAGTTAATACGCATTACAAACGGACTACAATGGTGAGCGAATAGGGAAATCCGTTCCTGATACGCATTTACTTGCTCATGTAACCCCGGTAATTGATTTAGCACTGGAAGAAAGTACAAATGGCATGAGAATTGTAGCGCGCGCGCACGCACGCACGCACGCACGCACACTCGCACACTCGCACACTCGCACACTCGCACACTCGCACACTCGCACACTCGCACACTCGCACACACACACGCACACACACCTACACACACACACACACACACCTACACACACACACCTACACACACACACACACACACACACACACACACACACACACACACACACACACACACACACACACACACACACACACACACACACACACACACACACACACACCTACACACACACACACACACACACACACACACACACACACACACACACACACACACACACACACACACACACACACACACACACACACACACACGCACGCACACGCACACGCACACGCACACGCACACGCACACGCACACGCACACGCACACGCACACGCACACGCACACGCACACGCACACGCACACGCACACGCACACGCACACGCACACGCACACGCACACGCACACACACACGCACACATCACAAAGAAACACACACATCACAAAGAAACACACACATTACAAAGAAACACACTCGTTTACTTCAAGTAGATGCCCCTTTGGTATAACGTGCCCTGCCCGCCCTTAACCCAACCCGGCTAACCGGAGGCCGGCCCTATAGAGGGTCGGCCGGGCGCGCGGCTCGCCACCCTATCAGGGTGACGGGTCGTGGGCCCGGCCGGCGGCCTGCGGCATCGCCCCAGCGAGAACAAGGATGTGTTTAGTTAGCGGGGCGGGGCAGGATTCCGAGGGGTTCCTCTTTGGAGTTGGAACTGACCTGACTGTGCATGTTCATGATGATGACTGTTGTATGTGCCCATATGGATTATGTAGATGGCTGGTGATCTTGCCGGCAATGTGTTGTCGAAGTTGGACCCTGAACACAGACCAGTGAACAATAAACAGTAAACACGAAAAAAACTTGTGTCATGGAAGCGTAGTAAATGTCTAGCAACTGCTGGGAAATGTACTGAAAGTTCGTTCTGAGGGAAGGGAAGGGAGGGGGCGTAAATTTGTACCTACTTGAAATTAATGTTAACTTTTCCTTTGTTGCAGTTATACTCTACTCTCAGCAAGTTTTTTTTTGTTATGGCAAGTTTGCTAGCTGAAGATGGCCTGGTGCACAGGAAGATCAGTTTTCTACTAATTGAGCTATAGTTCGATTGTTACGAACAGTTAAATGAATATGGTAAGATCACGCTGCAGCTGATGCACGATACCCATTGGAATAGTCGTGCAACGCGCTTTTGATGCACTATGGAGGTACCGACACCCGTGCACGCGTCAAAGGAGGCCCCGGCGGAGGCAGTAACTCTCTGCGCATCGGTGGCCCTGCGTAGCCACCTGCCTGGCACGCTCGATCAGGGGGCAACCGGGCAGTGCGCAGTGCACAGAGAGCCGCTGGCCAGCTCCTCCGGCACCTTCACCCAGCTCACAGCTAGCTGCCATCCGCTTTCGCCTCTAGCTATCACTTCGGGAACGATTTCGCCAATGCCATTGAGCTCGGTCCCCGTGCGCTCCACCGCTCTGCTCCACGCGTGCTTGAATTCAGAGAACGGCGTTATGAGTCGGGAACTCACAGTACCGGATACAGTGCCGCCGTCTTCGCCAGCCCACGTTGGCGACCAGTCTGGAAGCTGGCCGTATTCTGTCCCGTCGGCCGGCCCTGCGACAGGCAGCGGGGCTGGCAGCTCCACGTCGCCCCGGCGGGGCACAGGACACAGCAGACGTCAGCGCAGAGCGCAGCGTGTGCAGTCGATGGCCGCTCCTCGGCAGCCGGCCGACGGCGACCACCATCGGCAGCAGTGGACGTCCAGGCGAAAGCGAAACCGCACCGACCTCACTGTGGAGCAGAAACATCGAATCTGCATGTACCATAACGAGCATCCTACGGCTACTGCCAAACAGCTGGTCGACTTTTTTCGTGAGGAGTGGGGCGTGGTTGTGGGCAGGTCCACTATCGCAGCCACCATCGGGAACAAGGCCAGATGGCTCTCCATATCCGAACAGAAGGCAAAGAGCAAACGGACACGGACGGGGAGGCATGAGCAGATGGAGCAGTGCCTTTATGGGTGGTACATGGACCAACGTGCCGCTGGCGTATACGTGGCGCGAGAGCAGCTGTTCGCGCGGGCCAAGGAAATCGGCCGTGCCATTGGAATCCCTGAGACGTTCACCTACAGCAAGGGCTGGCTGCAAAAGTTTCAGATGCGCTACAACTTTCGTGTCACGGCGCAGAAATCCAAGACAGACGCGGCGACTAAGCGTTTCGTGGTATTGAAGCGCCGGCAGATGGACCGGGACTTAGAGACGACCGTGCCAACAGATATCTTTTGCCTGGGTGAGTTTCGGCTGTGTTACCGGCTGATGCTGCGTCAGTCGCTGATGGCCTCCGGCGAGGCTGACGCTGTGTCCGTGTGCCTGTGCACCAACCTAACAGGATGTCGGCGGCTGGCGCCGCTCGTCATTGGCAACACTGTCACATGCGGCTTTAGCAACAAATTTTTCGTCGACAAACTGGCACTGTATCGATACGGTGCGCATGGTGTGCTCACCAATGCCATCTTCTCCGAGTGGCTGTACGCACTGGACGGGGCGATGCGCCAGGAGCAGCGCACCATCCTGTTGCTGGTCGGTGCCACCAGCTGTAATGTTGAGCGCACCTACAAACTGAGCAATGTGCGGCTGCGGCTGCTGGACACTATCGGAGCACGCAACCCGTTCGACCACGGTCTACGGGCGGCCTTCAAGATCGCGTACCGGCGTTTACAGGTGCAGCACTTGCTGAGCGAGGGTTGCCCTCAGGCGAACACAGCTGTGCCCGACCTGCGCGACGCCATCTACTTGATCCGCGAGAGCTGGCGGCAGCTGCCCAACGAGGCCATTGTGGGCGCGTGGCGGGCGGCCGGCGTGGTGCCCGAGTATCGTCTGGCCGCCACTCACACTGCCGGGGACGGTGCGCCAGTCTCGACGACTGCCGGGGGTAAGCCGCCCCACCCGCAGCAGCGGCAGCAGCAGCAGCAGGTGATGCCTCCGTTGCCGGGTCACCCGGTGCAGTCGTACTTGCACGTGCCGCTAGCGGGAGAGCATCCTGGCCAGCGGCATCCCGCTTATCACCATCAGCAAGCTGAGCACGAGCAGCAAGACCATCAGCAGCCGGAGCATGACCAGCTGCCGGATCAGGGGTATCGGCCGCCCATACCCCCGCCGTCGCAGCCGCCGGCGCAGCAGTTTGTGGCGGGTGTCCATCAGCTGCCCGTGGTTGGCACCTTGGACACCACTGTGAGCCAGCTCTCCCCGTTCGGTCTTTCTCAGAACGGCGCCACGTACATGCTAGGCGAGCAGGCTGTGGAGCATCCGCAACCGGGTGGCAGCCGCACTCTGCCAGACGCCGGCCAGATGAACCTGGCCGGCATGCGGCTGTTGCGTGAAGAGCTGTCGCGGCTGCCGATACCCGCTGCCGAGTTGGTGACGGTGGAGACGCTTCTGGCCGCCGACGATCTGTGCGCCTCCGAGAGCACGGCCGGCGCCGCTTCGTTCGTGCGGCCGCCCGAGCACGTGACACAGACGGTTGCCAGGTGGGCTATTGACGTGCTACTGACCTACCTAGAGCAGCGCGACGCCGACCTGGCACCCATCGACCAGCTGCTGGAGATCCGGCGTGTCTGGGTGCTCGACAAGCGGCGGCAGGACGGGCCACCGGACAGCAAACCGACCTTCCGCTGAGACGCTTGTCTGTGGTCATCATCGTGTGTGCTAGCACTAAGCGTGACCAAGTGATTTGAACGCCCTGATTCCCTCGTCTGTTACGTTTTTAATATTATTTTTCTCAAGTGTTTTTTATATACTTTTCCGACGCTTGTTGCAAACTATAGGTACAGTAGGTCTACTAAGAAAGTCCCCCGCTCTAGAGGCGGCCGGCCAGCCGAACCCCCGGATTCCAGCCCCGATTCTATTGCGCAGGTTACGGCAGCGACACTGGGTCAGGTCGGGGCACCCCGGCGAGTTGGTTGGTTGGCGGCGGCCGGCCGTGGAGTGAGGACGTCGTGTGTGGGGCGCAGAGATATCGCAGTGCAAAGAAGGGGAAGATAGTGACCCCGCACGATGTCGGGAATGATGTCCTTGTGATCTAAATTAAACACCTGCAGTGCAGTGCACGTTCTCCCTTGCCTCATTCCTATGATATCATAGTCCTACACTTATTTCTCATCTCATGGTCATTCAACACAAGCAAGTAAACCATTCGTTTAGCGGTGACATCATCTAGGATAAAAAGCGACAGTGATGACCCAGGATAGACGTAGCGCGAGGGCAAATCGAGGGGGTAGGTATATATGTAGGCATCACATACCTACAAGTAATTTATTCCCATCTAGCGAATTAAGACTGGCTATCTTGTTCAACAAGTCAGCGGCCGTTCTAGACACAGATAAATACTTTGTTTTCGATCGCATCATTATTTGCAATACTACGAAGTTTACATGTTCAACTCTTACCGGCCGAGGGATAGATGGCGCCACCATGTATTTTTTGCGTTAGCCCAGAGTACGCTGATGATAGAAGGCTAACATTTTACACGGCTAACTTTTGATTCAAGCCGGATCATTTGATATCAACCACGTTTTCAGATCAGTTCAGGTCACTAGCCTATGACGTCTTGAGTAGACCTCTGCATGGTTCTAAAATGTTGCAAATCCGCAATGCACTTAGTGTCATAAACTTAATGATGGAAATATTGAAACTTAATTTGGCGCTGGGAATGATCTGAAATGAAACTATACCTCAAGCACACACTGTAAAAAATATTGACGAGCAATGTGTCAAAACAAGGGTCTCGAAACAGTCACCAGGTTGCCAATGCTTCCGGTACCTACCACTTGACTAGTTACCGCTTAGTTAGCTTACAGGCTGAGAACTATCCAGATCGTTATGATCCGGTATTGTAATGATACCCTAGGTGTACCTTTGTTTTGAAGTGCTGAATTAACTATCAAGGTTGTTTGACATTTGTTTTCGCCTCAATCCGAAACGAGGAAGACCCTCATCAAATTATTAGGTGAAAGCCAGCCTCAGGATGATCAAAATACTAGGGGTAGTTTTGTCATAGTATGTAATCTGTGAAGGGTGAGGAACAAGCCGTAGCAATGCACTCGTCACTAAACCAGCCTGAGATTATTCGCCAGGTAGCTGCTGCGTTTCCCTACTTGCTGAATCATGTTTGCAACTTTCCATTTCCAGACACTTTTTACGGCAAATGAATTGTTGGGTTATTTGGAAGGTGAATGACAATTTTATTTCTATAAGTCAATACATTTGTATTTCCGATTGCCCTAAAACTTTTTTAATCGTTTGCGGTAGGCTTTTATTGTTCGCAATAAAGTTGCTGGTCATCTGAATATGGGTTGATTAGGGCCTAGTTGGGCCCCTAATTAACCCATATTAATTAGGGCCCTGATTATGGCCTAATTAGGGCTTGTAAGGTTACCAGCACCAGGTATGAGCTAGTTTTTGAACCAACAATGGGCTCGTCGTGGGTTTCAAATGTATAGCAATACGTTCGTTTTGACCTATGTAGTTTGAGCTTCATTCGTTAAAACCCGCGCCCCGTAGGGGGGGGGGCCGAAACGGCCCCTCCCTGTCCTTTTCCGTCAATATCTCCTAAACGGCTGGAGATATCGCCACCAAACTTTCAGGACCCCTCCGGGCATCAATTTTACACATTGTGACCAAAATTTCTTCCAGAGGCTATGATAGGTTCGCCACAAATGACGTCAGAATGACGTCATGTTCTGTCATTTTCGACCGAAAAAGACCTTCGCGAGAAGACCTGTCAGGCCTACAGCTTTGAAGATACAGAAAAATGATCGAGGCATAAAAGGTGTAGAATTGACAGGGCTACAAAACTACTATCTCGGATTTTTGAAATTTTTGAGTTTCGACCCCCAAAAATTGAAAAAAAAGCATTTTTTTAGATATATTTGCCAAACAATCCAAAAAGTTTTTTGATTTTCGAAAAAAACGGAATATATATGATAGTACCCACCGTCTTCTATCCACATACCAAATTTCAGATCAATACGTCGTTTTTTGGCGAAGTTATAGCGAAAAAACTGTTCAAAAATGATGACGTCAAATTTTCAAACTCAATTTTGGGCAATTCTAGACATCGTAGAGCAAAACAAAGAACACCATTAGACTCCCCGTGACGAGCTGCATGGAATCGATACCCATTTTATGCAAAAATATCAACTCTGAAATTTGACCTAATTTGACCTGACCTTGACCTGACCTTCACCAAAACGTGACCTAGGCTGGCCCCAAAGGCTGCCTAACCCACATAATCGCATTTGTCATGTAAAATGGACCATAAAACATGTAACACACGACACTTTCATGTTGTGACCCCCGGTGACCTGACCTCGCTGTGACCTGACCTGGTATCAGTGACCTCAGATAGCAAAGTATTGTTTGACGAACAATGTACCATCGATGGTTTCAATAAATTACCAATTTACTCGATTTCACAACACATTTCTTGAAATGCCTGTGAACGGTGAAAATCCGACCTTTGACCTGACCTGTGACGTCATCGGTTTGACCAAGGTCAATGAAATTTGGTCACAAGGTAGTTTTTCGGTGGGGCTATCGAACACCGTTTGAATTTTGAAAATCGGCCGGTAAATTTCCGAGATCGTAGGGGGGGACCGAAACGGCCCCTCCCCTACGGGCGGTAGGGTCCGCCGATAGCCCTACGGGGCGCGGGTAGTAGGAACAAGACGATGCTTCTTTTGAACATCGTCACGTCACGTGACATTGTTTTTCGTTATTATTGTTACTAGGTACTTTGTTATCATACACAGCATTAACGAGGACCTGCTTCCAAAACAAGGCAGAAACGCTCCAGCTATTTTTGGGACGTGGTAAAAACTAACCGACACCTGGTAACTGTCATCTGACGAACACAAAACAAGCCAGGGGCTCGCAGCGTGTGTCAAAAGTAGGATGCAAAACTAGTCTGTACCCCCGACATTTAGCGTTGAGAATCATTTGACGAGGGGCTAGTCAATATTTTTTACAGTGCACTGTAAAAAATATTAGGATATTGCTAGTCGACTGGGACGGGGGACGTCACATCTGGGCCACAACTGGGTCGAGGTCCATGACCATCGGTCCCAGAAACTTGGTAGGAGCGTTGATAATTGGTCTTGACTACTGAAGCAAAGACAAGTGAATCAGTGACAACTGACAATCCTTTCGTGAGTTCTGATTGAACTGGATCAGGAAGCCTGATGGGACGAGCTAGGAAGTCTATCAGACCTATAGGTGAGTTTAACCCTCGCCGGCACAGGGGGAGGGGGGTTGATGCACCCCCTGAGGTTTTTCGCGAATAACTCGTGTAAAAAGCGGCTGATCGCGATGAAACTTTCACTACCCTCGTATTGATCAATTTTACACCTACCCTGAAAATTTCATGACCCTGACCCAAATGACCTTTGACCTCTTTTCTTTTCCGAGACCATGTTTGGCCGGAATCGCGATTCGGCGTATGTCGGCTCGCATTAGCCGCGCGTTTGCAAGCTTTTCGTGGTTTCAAACGTTGAAACATGTGATTTGATGTTGCTCCCATGCATTAGGGTGGGTGTCAAAGTCACCTGAAGGTCATGGGTCAGGTCATTGACCTTTGGTGACCTCGGTTCACTTTTTCGAGTTTTACATGTTTCTAGGGTAGTTTTTTTAGCTGATTTTGAATTTAGCAACCATTTGAACATTTACGAAGTAGTTTTGGTGCCTTCGTAACATGTTACGAAGCTGTCAGAGGCGGATGATACCCGTCACGACCCCTACCGGCTTACCTGACCTGACCCTACCTAGTCTAAACGCTTAATGACATCATTTGTGATCAAAACTAACACGATATTCGTGATCAGCACCCCGTAAAACCCCATAGCAGCCACCTAGGCCCCGTCAAATTTTATAAAGGTTTTGGAAGACCAGCTCCCCTGGTGTTTTCCCATTGCTTGTTGGCCCAGTAAGAAGTATGCAAAATTTCAGCTTCCTAGCTCAACGTTTGCGTCTGCCTCAAAGGCCTCGAAGTTTGCCTCATAGGGCGTAATGGAGACTGCAATGCCGGTGTTAGCTGCATTGTCCTGGCAGCGGCGTTCATTGGCACAATATTGCCACGAATCAGGGGAGCCACGATAATAACAATAATGCCACGAATCTGTTAGCACGCATTGCAGGTCGTTGTGTCAGTATGCTGGCAGCAGTTTTCCCAGCGAAGCTTGTATTCTTGTATTCTTGTATTCATTTTATCACCGACGGGTTATGCACCCATTTACAGGTGAAGTCAAATAATACATTTCCCACACTCACAAACACTTAAGGCACATCGAACACTTGGACTTGCATCTCAGCCGTCCCTCGCTACATAGGCAGCCACTCGACTTCTGAATTCGCCGGCGCTGCTCCTCCATATATCCACATCGCGGTTTGCATCCAGGAACGCGTTGCAGTTGCTGGGAGCGCGATTAAAGATGAACGTTTTCACAGTATTGACACGCGGTCGCGCCACGGAACTCGCGAACATACTCTGATGCCTAAGCAGACGAACAGGTACTGAGAGAGGGAACACATCGAGAAGGAACGATGAACGTATCCTCTGGCGATGTATGTCCCTGATGAAGAGAATATCAAAACGCTGGATCCTAGCTGTCACAGTGTCCACTCCGAAGTGCTTAACTAAGTCTCGGTACCCTAAAGAAACACCAGTCACCCGACAGCGAGCACAGAGCCAGACAAGAAACTTTTCCTGCACACGTTCAATTCTGAAGCTCGGAATGT